GTTTTTCCCGGCAGCTCTCCCGGGGCTGTTCCCAGGGCTCGCTCCCGCTGCATTCCCGGCACAGCCTCTGCGCCCTCCTCACCTTCCTGAGCTTCACCTCCCGCCTGCCCGAGCGCCTGGCGCCAGGGAGCTTCGACTTCATCGGTGAGCATTCCTGGGAATGCCGGGAACGGACCCCGGGAATGTGGGAATGAATCCTGGGAATGTGGGAATGGACCCCAGGAATGCCAGGAACGAACCCCGGGAATGTGGGAATGAACCCTGGGAATGTGGGGATGAGCCTGGGGAATGCAAGGAATGAACCCCGGGAATGTGGGAATGAACCCGGGGAATGAACCCAAGGAATGAGCCCAGGGATTCCCAAGAATAAACTCAGGGAATGTGGGAATGACCACAGGGGAATACTGGGAACGAACCCAGAGATTCCCAGAAATGAACCCAGGGATTCCCAGGAGTAAACCCAGGGAATGCCAGGAATGACCCCAGGGAAATGTTAGGAATAACCCCATGGAATCCCGGGAATGAGCCCAGGGAATGCTCGGAATAAACCCCAGGGAATCCCAGGAAAAAACCCCCTTGAGCCACAGGCATTGGGAATAGGAATTTGTAGGATAAGTATTCCATGGGTGCCAGGTGAAGTGGGCTGATTCAATCCTGGAATCCTGGAATTCCAGGGACTCCTCCCACTATCCCGGAGTGCTCCAAGCTCCCGGAGCAATCTGGGGATGTGGAACCCACCTGGCCCAGCCGAATTTCCATGGAATTTCCATGGAATTCCCGGGGTTTTCTGTCGCAGGGCACAGCCACCAGGTTTTCCACGTCTGTGGGATTTTGGGAACGCTCTTCCAGCTGGAAGCCGTCTCCATGGACATGGAGGAGCGGCGGGGCCGCTTCCCACTTCCCTCTTCCCTGGAAACCTTCGGATCCCTGGGAATGGGAGTGGCCGCCAGCCTGGCCATCCTCGGGATCTGCTTCCACAACCTCCGCCCGGAGCCTCTTTCCCGGGAAAAATCCCACTAGAATCAGGGATTGCCTCGGATTTCTGGGAGCAGCCTCATTCCAGAGGTGTCCATGAGGACGAGGGGGAGTTTGATCACCTGGAAATATTTCTTTGGGATTTTCCCAAGGGAAAACTGCACTGTTTTTATCCGTGGGTGGGCTTCCCATCCCATTGTTATCCATAGGGAAAGAGTCAAATAATCGGGATTTGATCCCTGAAAAGGGAGGGAAGCGCTCCTGCTTCCCAAAGGATCCGGGATCCCTCAGGTCTGCCTTGGAGAGAAATCCAGGGAATGTTGGAATCCAAGCACTCCCTAATTCCCATTTTCCCTTTGGAATTTCACGCCTTACTCTCAGCCCAAGTGCCTGGAAATGTGGGATGGAGGGATTGGAGTTTCCCTCCCGTTTTAATTCCTGCTATTTTCCCTCATATCCAGGAAAAGGGATTCCAGGAGAGCTCCAGTGGGATATTCCCACAGCAAAGCTCTTCCAGGATCTAATTCCGGGAAATCCTGAGAATTTCATTCCCATGGGAATCCCGAGTTCCCACGTGGGGGGGGTGGAATGAAGGAATTCCATCCTGTCCCGGGTATTCCTGGGATGGATCCTGGATTGGGAGACCTCCACGCCCCAACCTCCCGGGATTTGGGATCCTTTAGGAAAAGATTTTTAATGTTTTCCTTGGATAAAAAAATGGGATTGGGAATCCATGGGGAGACGCCAGGAGAAAAGCAGGATTTGGGACAGATCAAGGATTAAAAGCACCTTGGAATTTTAAAGAACTCCCAGGATTTTCCCTGTATTGTTCCTTGCTTTCCTTCCCTGCTGCTCCTGGATTTTGCAGGGAGAGCCTGGAGCTCTCAGCCTTTTCCAGGATCCAGGTTTTCCTCTTGGATTTTCCTGCCACTTGATTCTTTGGGAATATTTTCCTGGATAATTCCACGGCTCTTCCATTAATTTCCTTTAATTGCTTTTTGCTGCACTTTGGGAGCTCCTGGAATTTGGGATAACACAACAAAATCTGGGATGAACGGGTTAAATCAATCCTTGGGAAAGTTAGCCAGGATTTTCAGGATATTTATAAGCACTGGAATTGTTTTTCCGACGGTTTTATTAAATTAACATAAATCACTGATTTTAATCTGCTTAATAATAAAAATATTCCTGAGAAAACCAATCCCTTTGGAGATCATTGCTGATAATTCCAGAGTTTATTTACTTTGGGAGCTGCCGTGACCGGGGAGGAATCCGGCTGGGGTTGGAGAGCCTGGAAAAACATCAGGATTCATCCCAGAATTATCCAAGGTCGTTCAACTTTTGAACTGAAATCCTCCTGTCCTCTGCAATGCCGGGAATTTTGGGAAAACTGGGATGGAATGCCGGAATTCCACGGGATCCACCCATGGAATGGGTGATGCTGGATCTTGGAGTGCCACAGTGCCAAAGGATTTTTCCAGCTTTTTACCCCAAAATCTCTGGATTTTCCTCAATTCCCTTCCCAGGAGAAATGAAAACTCCATGTCCAGTTGTTTCAAGGAAATAAACCGGGATGTTTCCTTGTGGAATGCTGATCCACGGCAAATTCCCAAAAATTCCAGGAATTTTGGGCTGAAATTTCAGCGAACCTCCCTCATCCCTCCTAAGCCACGTGGATTTTGGAAAAGCTGGAAAAGAGCAGGAATTTCCGGCTCCTCCAGGTCATTTTATCCCCCTTTTTTCTTTTTAATATCCTTGAAATGCATTGGGGAAACGTTCAGGAATTTGGACTAAAAATGGGAATTCCATGGAATTTAAAAGGAATTGAATCTCTCTCCCCAGTTCCCCATTGGAATTTTTTCCCTTGGCAGGAAATTTGCTTTTCCCTGGACTCGTTCTGCTGGATTTTTCCCACATGTCCCAACACCACATTTCTATGGATCATTTCCCACAGGTTGGGAATTAACTCGCTTCCATCGGGTTGGGAATTAATTCCGACAGGTTGGGAATTAACTCATTTCCATCTGGTTAGGAATTATTTCCAATAGGTTTAGGATTAACTAATTTCCATCGGGTTGAGGAATTAGCTGAGCGACCGATTCACCTCCAGGCAGGCACACAAGGAAGCTCTTGCTCTGCAAACCACCTGAATTCCACCTGTTTTCCTGAAAGATTGGAATTAAGCGGATAAAAAAATGCGGAAAAAAAAGGCGGAAAAACCGGGATCGGCCGGAGCCGGGATTCGAACCCGCGGCCTCTCCTCCTTCCACCGCCACCGCCAGCAGGGGGCGCCCTCGCCTCAGAGCCACGCACCCCCCCCAACCCCGGCGTCGCCGTGGTGACGGCGTGATGACGTCAGGGGGAGTGGCGCGCTCGCTGATTGGCCGGATTTGAATCGCGGCGGGCGCGCGCGGCGGCCGCTCGGTGCCAGCTCCAGCCCCGGGCCCTGTCGCCACAGTCGGCGGCACCCGCGACATGAAGGCGGCGTGAGTGGCTCCGCAAACCCCCGGGGAGGCGGCGGCTTGGGAAGGGGTGTCCCCCGGGGTGGTCTCGGGGGGTGGAAAGGGGGGGTCCCGCGATGGGGCAGCTCCGCCCGGTGCCGCCTCTCGTGGCTGCCCCGGGTTCTCCTCATCCTCCCCCGTCCGTTCCCGGTGTCCCCTCACGGATCGCTCCCTTCAGTAGGGCCAAGACGCCGCGGAGGCCGAAGAAAGCCACGAACCCAACGCTGAAGGACCCGGTGGGGGTGAGTGCGGGCTCCTCCCGAATTCCCACCTCCCAAAATCCCCAGCTTTATTTTGCCCGGTTTATCCCGAATTCTCTGATTCCCACTTTCCTCATCCTGAGTTCCCTGATTCCCACCTCCCAAAATCCCCAACTTTACTGCCGGATTCATTCCTGGGTTTATCCCTAATTCCAGATGTACTGCTGGGTTTATTCCCAGGTTTATTCCTGAGTTTATCCCTGTTTTCCTCATCCCAGCTGTACTGCCGGGTGCATTCCCAGTTTTATTTCCAGGTTTATTCCTTGTTTTTCTCCCCAGTCCAGGTGTACTCCCGGGCTCATTCCCAGTTTCATTCCCGGTTTATTTTCCCCCCAATCCCAGGTGTACTCCCGGCCTCATTCCCAGTTTCATTCCCGGTTTATTTTCCCCCCCAATCCCAGGTGTACTCTCGGGCTCATTCACCGGTTCGTTCCCGGGGCTCATTCCCGGTTTATTTTCCCCATTCCTGGATTAATTCCTGGTTTCATTCCCGGTTTTTCCCAATCCCAGGTGTACTGCCGGGTTCAATCCCGGTTTCATTCCCGATATATTTTCCCGAATCCCGGTTTCATTCTCGGTTTTTCCCAATCCCAGGTGTACTGCCGGTTTCATTCCCGGTTTTTCCTAATCCCAGGTGCACTCTCGGGCTGATTCCCGGTTTCATTCCCGGTTTTTCCCCCCAATCCAGGTGTACTGCCGGGTGCGGCCGCTCAGCCGCGCGGACCAGGAATGCTGCATCGAGGTCATCAACAGCACCACGGTGCAGCTGCACCCGCCCGAGGGCTTCCGAGTGTTCCGGAACGGCGAGTACCGCGAGGTGACACGGCATTCCCGCCCGGAATTCCTGCCTGGAATTCCCTCCAGGCATTCCAAAATTCCTGCCCGGAATTCTTGCCCGGCATCCCGAAATTCCTGCCCGGAATTCCCGCCCGGCATCCCGAAATTCCTGCCCGGAATTCCCGCCCGGCATCCCGAAATTCCTGCCCGG